TAATATGAACAATATAAACACAGTAGAAACCAGCATCATCTAAACCAAACAAGACAACATTAATAATGCTGCATGAAATTCACAGTCAAGAATTGAAAAAGGAGATCAGATTAATCTTTGCTAAAATTAAGCCAATATTTAAGTCAGCAAATGCCATTACACAACAACCACAAACTTTCCAGGATAAAAGTTACTGAAATGTTAACAATCATTAAATGTGAATGTTCTTCAACTTCATATATTTTATCTTTCCAAAATTTTCGATATTTCCATACTAAAATTCAAATTTCAATTGCTATTCACTAATTACAAAAATCATCAATCATCAAACAGAGAAAGCAAACCTTCCATGGCCACAAGTGTAGTTATAGAATTTTCTGCCATTGAGAATAATGTAGATAGACCTAAAGTGCGGTCAGAATCACACCTTGGTCTTTGAAAATCTTACAAACCATAGAAACCTTAGGCCAAGCATTCCTCAACAACAATGCCCACTGCTCAATCACTCCGTACCTTGCATTCACCACTTCCTCCACCGCAAGCACCCTCTTGCATCAGAAAACCAAAAAACCACAAAACATTGCCCCCAGAAAGACCCCCACTTCAGCAAAATCTTCAGAGACTCCAAACCCAGGCCTAAAACCTCACATTGGTCACCACCCAGATCATTGTTTTCTCACTTAAAGATCTCAGAAGAGCTCCAGTACCAACAATGCCAAGTATTCACAATCTCAAACTGTAACTTCCACCAAAAATGGACGGATTGAAACAATTGGAGACTATACGACATGGGAAGTGACTACTTTTGGATGAAAATTTTATTGAGCATTTCAAATTTCAATTGTGTTGCACGAAACCCAAACACTTGGATCTGGAAATGAAGGGGGATCGATTGATAACAGCGGATTTAGGTGCCTCAAGCCCCCACAAGAGTCATAGCTGAAGGAAAATGTTAAAAATTCAGGAAAAGAAAAAAAAAAAAACAAACAAACAAACCAAAACTGTCTTCCCTTTCCCAATCCTATTCCTTCTTCCCGTTGGAACTCAGCATGCTAGGTGACGAGGTAAAAACAGAGGTTGAGGGATAATAGGATGGGTATTGATGGATTTGCTGCAGATGGAACGCAGGAGTTGGGATTCATAATAGAAGAGGAACCCTGAAGAGGTGAAATTGAGGTGATTTTGTGATGCTGATAATGTACCTTCATCTGTGGAAATGGAAGCTACTTCCATTAGATTCTTTCTGTTGTGAAGGAAGATGTTGCCGAAGGCGAGTGCGAGGGAGAGACCGAAGCCCAAATCATTAGACTTACCCACTTATGAAATGATTACAATTACAGTTATATCCCCAAGATGATAACCATCTAAAAATCCCATCTCAAAATTCAAACTTCCGCATTTCCCCTTCAGCCCATCAATGTGAAGCAAGAATTTTTATGAGGCTGCTAATGGGAACAAAAACTCGACGTATCTTCGCAACCAGTTTGATACCATACCAACCGGCTTAGAGGAAGTAGATTAATTGGAAATGCATATACAACTAAGAAAGATTAACAGCTTAAACCTTCAAATATATTTTAAGTCTGCTGTCGTGCCCGCCTAAATTGTAAAACACTTTCTCAATGTACCGAACAGGCAAAGGGCCACGAAAATCATTGCTGGAGAGGTCCAGAACTCGTAACTTGGGAAAATATGGACTTTCTTTGGTGCCCTGCACAAAACCGTGGAACTTGTTGGACCTTAAGACAAGCACTTGAAGGTCTGGTAGAGATTCCAACCATTGAGGGAATGTGTCCTCTATGTTGTTGTTGCCAACGTCCAGAACCTCTAACTTGCTACAATTCACCAAGGACCTTGGTAATGGCCGTCCATTTGATTTCCATGTAAGTTGAGATTTCGTAATACACAGCCCTCTGGAAACCCAAATGGTATATTTCCATCAAAGTAATTGGCCTGCAAATTCAACACTAAGAGAGACTTAAGAAGACAATTTGGAATCTTCCCGATTAAATTGTTATGAGAAAGGTCAAGAATTTGGAGATCATCCTTTTCACATATCCATTGGGGAATATTTCCATGAATGCTATTTTTGGATAGCACTAGGATTTGCAGACCATTTGAATGTCTTATGAAATTGGGGAATTCACTCAAGTTACAAGAAGAAAAGGAGACATCAGTTAGTTTGGGTAATGTGAAGTTGGCATTGACATTCATTCTCAAGGACAGATTATTGTCTGAAAGAAAGATGGTTTCCAGATTTTGAAGCACCAAGAACATGTCAAGTTCTACTAAACCAGTAAAAAGATTTGATGATAAACCAAGATATTTAAGATTTACTAAATTAGCAATTGAGTTAGGAATTGAGCCCTGGAGTTTATTGTTTGACAAATCTAGACCTATGAGTGAGTTTTGCTGGAATTGAATTATTTGACCTTGAAATTGGTTATGATTGAGCTGCAAGTACTCTAACAAAGGTAGGGTGAAAATCCAAGGTGGCAATGTGCCGTTAAGTAAGTTATATGATAAGTCTAGATCAATTAGTTTGGAAAACCTAACAGCATGAAAAGGAATGGTACCAGAAAACTGATTATTTGAAAACCTAAGATTACTAAGTTGTGTGAGGTTTGCAAGTGATGCTGGGATTTGTCCGCTAAGATTGTTAAAAGAGAGCTCTAGGCCAGTAAGTTGCCTTAAGTTACCTATGGAAGCTGGAATGGGACCAGAAAACTGATTACTGGAAAGGTAAAGAGAGGTAAGTTGTGTGAGGTTTGCAAGTGATGTTGGGATTTGTCCGTTAAAATTGTTAGAAGTGAGGGTTAGGTAAGTAAGTTGAAATAAGTTCCCAATGGAAGCTGGAATGGGACCAGAAAACTGATTAAAGGAAAGGTCAAGAAAGGTAAGTTGGGTGAGGTTCGCAAGTGATGATGGAATTTGTCCGCTGAGATTGGTAGAGTGGAGGACTAGGCTCGTAAGTTGCCTTAAGTTACCTATGAAAGTTGGAATGGGACCAGAAAACTGATTATTGGAAAGGTCAAGAGAGGTAAGTTGTGTGAGGTTTGCAAGTGATGTTGGGATTTGTCCTTTCAAATTGTTAGAAGTGAGGGTTAGGTAAGTAAGTTGAGATAAGTTCCCAATGGAAACTGGAATGGGATCAGAAAACTGATTAAAGGAAAGGTCAAGAAAGGTAAGTTGTGTGAGGTTTGAAAGGGATGTTGGGGTTTGTCCGTTAAAATGGTTAGCAAAGAAGCGTAGGTCAGTTAGTTGAGATAAGTTCCCAATGGAAGTTGGAATGGAACCTTCCAAGTTGCAGTCAAGAAGACTCAGAGACTGTAATGACTTTAGAACTCCTATAGACTCTGGCAATCGCCTCCCGCAATCCATGACATGTAAATGCAAATCTTGGAGAGGACTGCTCCAATTGGAACTTGGAAGATCAATAGTGAGGTTTCGCTCTCCAAAAGATCCACTTAAATAAAAATTCTTGAGATTTGGAAAGCAGAAAATACTCTTTGGAAAGTTTCCTCTTAACACACTCTCGAAAAGAACAAGAGTAGTCAATGAAGAAGAGCGATTCATGAAGAAACGAGGATTAACAGATGTCATGTTCACTTCACTAAGCTCAAGTTCTCTCACCTCACTCAAGTTATGAACAAGATTTTTGAAGGTAGTTGTTTCAAGGATCAAGTCATAATTAGAGAGATTGAGAGAAACTAACTTGGGGAGGTGAGCAATTTCTCCAGGAACATGACTCGAAAATCGAGAATAAGAGATATCAAGATGCTTTAGTCTAGTAAATTGACTGATTTCTAGTGGAATCTTGGAAAGCCTAAAATCATTGGAGGCAAGATTGAGGCTCTCTGGGTTTCTGAGGAAGAAAAGAGTGCTGTTGGAAGGAAAGGTGCCATAAAGGAAACTGCAGCTGAGATTAAGGGCAGTTACATGGCCTGTGACATTATCACAGCTAACCCCATCCCACGAACAACAGTCTATACCTTCCTTCCATGACTCAATCTTAGAATAATTTTCCCCACAATAATATGGATACGGAACAGTGTAATTGGTGGAGAAGGATGTCTTGAATTGTAGCAAAGCAAGAGCCTCCTCATGAGAGCAGAGATGCGTTGTTGAGAAGGAAGAAGCATGTATAAAGGATGAGAAGGCAGTTTTAAGACAGAGGAAGACAAAATGGAGGCAAAGTGGCGCAGAGAGCTTTGTGAAGATCCTCATTTCTTTGTTTGGCGCAACAGAGTACTCAAGAAGAGTATATATAGAGTGTTTCAAATTGAGATAGGCTAATAATTGAATATATTCCATCAAAATAAAAATAAATGAATATAGACGGTAATATTGATGCATGGTGGATGTCATTTTTCAATCTACTTTTTGATTTTTTTTTTATTTTTTATTTTGAAATTTAAATAAATGACCTAATTTAAAAGATTTTTTTACTTTATAAGATTTAAATTAAATTTAAATAAGATTTTTTAATTTCGTTAATCTTATTAATAAAGCAATAATTTTATTTTGAATTCATTTAGTTTTCAATTTTTAGCTAATAATAAAAGGTAAAT